CGTTCATGTGTTCTTGGCGGGTGATAGAAGGCATGCGACAGTAAAAGAGATTTATGCGAAGCTAGAAGAGTTGATGGAAGAGTGTGAGAAGTTAGGATATGTGCCAATTTGGGATGAGATGTTGCACAATGTTCAAGAAAAGGAGAAAAGAGTAGGGCTTTGGTATCATAGTGAGAAACTGGCTCTGGCATTTGGGTTGATGAGTGGATCACCACCAGGGAAGGCATTGAGGATTGGGAAGAATTTGAGAATTTCTAAGTATATTAGTAGAGTGGTGGAGAGGGAGATCATTGTGAGAGCTGTTAACAGATCCCATAGATTTTTAAATGGTAGCTGTATTTGTGGTGATATTTGGTAGTTTATTATTCAAGATTGATCACCATTATCTTCCTCATGGAACAAGAGTTGCAGAAGTTCTTGGTGAAGCTTATATGTTTTCAAGTGAATTTGGGATGTCTGACCTCAATTTGATTTTCGTAGATTTCCTTCATCAGTTTGGCAAATTTGCAACCGTGACTTTGATGGTCTCAATTAACTTCTACTCAGTATTTTTTTTTTTTTTCTAAAAGAATGAATAAATTTCTTGAACCTTACCTATTATTGCGTTAAAATACAATATCATTGGGTGGCTTTAAAATATACAATTTTTCGTAAAAAATTACCATATAATTTGATACTCAATCCGCTCTTTGACCCGGTCAAAAGACCGGATCTCGGGTCAACCGGTTTATAATTTTGACGTCTGCAACACATTACACGATCCATTCCTCCTTAGGGCTACAAACGAACCGAATAGTTCGTAAACAACTCGATGTTCGTTTGATAACTGTTCGACACTGTTTACGAATAAACCGTTCGCAAACAATTTGATGTTAGTTCGATAATATGTTTGATCGAGTTCGAACATAGACTGTTCGTTCGATTGTTCGTTCGTTTATGTTCAAAAAACATGTTATGCATTATTATAATTTATATTTTTTTCTCTTTTTTATATTATGTTTGGTTTAGTTTGGATGAATTTTTTTTAATGGTAATCAATAATAAAATATTATGATGCTTTTGTTTTTCTTATATATATAATATGTTTGTATTTTTTTTTCTTCCAAATGTCATCAATAATTAAATATATAAGTATATAGCATTTTAATTAAAAAGTAATAAATTATTATGATACATAGCATGACAAATTTAATAACATAATAAATTGTATAATCAAGTGATATATAATATAGTAAATCCAATAACATAATAGTTTCATATTTTTCTAAATGTAATCAATAATTAAATATTATAAGATAACATTTCAATTAATAAATAGTAAATATAGTATGGTAAATTAATGAACATAACATATTGTATAATCAAGTGATGTATAACATAACAAATTTAATAATATTATAGCATAGTTAAATATAGTATGGTAAATTGATGAACATAACATATTGTATAATTAAGTTATATATAACATAACAAATTTAATAACATAATAGATTATATAATTAAGTGATCTATAATATAATAAATCCAATAACATAATAGTTTCATATTTTTCTAAATGTAATCAATAATTAAATATTATAAGATAACATTTCAATTAATAAATAGTAAATATAGTATGGTAAATTAATGAACATAACATATTGTATAATCAAGTGATGTATAACATAACAAATTTAATAATATTATAGCATAGTTAAATATAGTATGGTAAATTGATGAACATAACATATTGTATAATCAAGTGATGTATAACATAACAAATTTAATAATATTATAGCATAGTTAAATATAGTATGGTAAATTGATGAACAAAACATATTATATAATTAAATGATATATAGTATGACAAATTTAATAATATAATAGCTTAATTAAATATAATATGACAAATTTATGAACATAACATATTGTATAATCAAGTGATATATAACATGACAAATTTAATAACATAAATTTATGGGTGTTGATACAAAATATATATGTAAACATTTAAAATATTTATGATAATTTATGTAATGATAATAAATATATGATAACCTATAATTTTGGTAATTTCATAACATATTTAACCTATGATTAATATATGTATGATAATAATTTTGTATATACACAATTACATATTATATATATGTGTGTGTGTGTGTGTATTATAGATAACAAATTAATCGCACATATATATTGATCATTTATTACAATAAACCCCCATTCCACTATGAATTTATGGGTGTTGATATAAAATATATATGTAAATATTTAAAATATTTATGATAATTTATGTAATAATAATAAATATATGATAACTTATAATTTTGGTAATTTCATAACATATTAAACATATTTAATTTATTATTAATATATGTATGATAATAATTTTATACATACACAATTACACATTTTACACACATACAGGCATATATATATAAACCCAATTTCACATTTTTCCTTACCAGACTCAGCCCAAATTTTAAAACAAAAATCCAAAGTCCAAACCCAATTCCACATTTTCCTTACCCGGCTCAAAATGCAAATCCGTATTTACGAATTAGTCGAACGATCACGAACTGGTCATTTTGTTAATCGAACGAACACGAACAATCATCCTGTGTTCGTTCGAGTTCGAACATGAAATCGAATACTCCTTCTTGCTTATCGAACGAGTTTCGAATGGGGCTGTTCATTCGTGTTTGGTTTGATTGCACTCCTCTCTTTTTTGCTCCTTTTCTCTTTCTCACTCTACCATTTTTTTTTCCTAGATTATACACCAGCAAAGTTCCATTTCAATTTCAAGCAAATCAAATTAAGGTTTATTGTTGTTGGTGTTATTCTTCTTTAACAAGATCTAGAGCTCATAAACTATGGCAAGAAACAATCTTAGCCTTTTATTTACATCAATCTCACCCAAACTCCCCTCACCATTCCCTATATCTGAATCATCAATCTATTCAAAGGTTTTGAACTCGGTGAGCCGACTCATCAGCTTGTCAACTCAATAGCCTCAATAACACCAAGAGAAAACCCCCAATAAAGAAACAAGAGACCCTCAAAGCAAACTTTGAAAGTCACACTTTTGGTAAGTTTGATTGTTTAAAGTCTGTAGCTTTGACCCTTTTTGTGTTTTTCTCATTTGGTTCAGTACCCATTATTTTTTGCCACTCGTTTCTGCTTCTGGATCATTGACTGAAGAATGAATTAGCTGCTTGATTGACAATATTATTATTAAGATGAACTTACAAGTGAGATGAAGATGAACTGATGAAGATGAAGTGAAGAACTTAAGATGAAATGAAACACGAAGAGGGAAGATTGAAGAGCCGATTGAAAGTTGTAGTAAAGATTGAAGAGCCGATTGAAAGTTGCAGTGAAGATTGAAGAGCTAAGGTTGCCGAAGAGTTGAAGATCGACTAAATCTGTGAGAAATGAAAGTGAAATGGATTTTGGGAATTATTGTAATGCATTGACCCGGTTTTGTGCCTGGCTGTTAATTGCAGTAACTCCGGTTTAACCGCGGGTCATATCGGATTAAATGTATATATCGCGTTTTACCCTTATCTGGCCCGGCTCAGTAGCTGTTCTTGGTCAAACCGGCCAAGCCTGGCTGATTTTAAAACATTTATTTATCTATTACGTAAGTTTGTAGAGAAATGTTTGTATATGTAAGGGGCCTTTGGTTGGAGTTAATGGAAGATTATTGGGTTTATGTCATCTTATATTACTTTATTATCATGTTTGGTTGTCAAGTAATATAAGATTTCGGTAATCTTGCATTACCAATAGTTGTTACTATTGGTAATATTGGAGGTAATCTGATTACCTCCATTTTCTTAGGTATTATAAGATTATCATGGTAATCTTATTTTTGTTACAATTCTATCCCTTATTAATAAAAAATTTGGACAAGAATGCCCTTATTTTAAAATAAATTTACATTAATATACCATTTCAATTTTACCTTGTTTAATTAAGTTTTTGGACAATAATGCCCTTATATTTAAAGCAAATTACAGACCACCATGCCACCCAGCCACTACCGCCGGAAAGTCGCCAGAGTCCCTAAAAATGACTGAGATTCGCTGGGAGGCTTCGATATGGTCGTTTCTTGCCATATTGATGGCAAAAAACGGCCATATCAAGCCAGATCGAAGTTGTTAACGGCTAGATCTTGCCCAGATCTGGCAGATAATGGTCGAAAATGACAAAAAACGGCCATATCGGAGCCTCGTGGTCACGATGAGCTACTCACATCGACTTTTAGAGACTTTCGGTAGTCGTTTGCAGTGGCGGCAGGCGGCAGTAGCAGGTGGGGGTGATTTTTTGTTTTAGCTAAATCTGAAATATCGGGGGGTTAAAAAATTATTTAAAAATTAATAATAAAAATAATATTATATTAATATTTAAAAAGAGGGCAATTTAGTAATTTAAATAACATACCCACCAATTTATTCCCCCTAACCAAACATATTAATATAATATACCCACCAACTAATCAAATACATTTTTCTAGAGATTCTTAGTAATCTATAAGATTCTAGTAATCTAACATTCCTTGAACCAAACGCACCCGTAGCATTATAGTTAGAAAAAGATACATTTACATTTTTAGTGAAAGAAACTGTGATGTTTATGGTCATGAATTATTACCACGTGCATTGAACAGAATATGATTCTGTATTGAAAACAAATGAATCAACACCAGTACTGACAAATTGAAAGTTAGGAAGATATCGCATACTGGATTCTGATCTTCAGCAGCTGTTATCAAGACTCAGCTCTGCATTTGGTTTGTTATACTTTCAAGTGTTCTTGAAAACAAGCAACGGGAAGTTCAGATTTTAATTTTTAATTAATAGGATAATACACAGTAATGAGTACTAGCAGTCTTCATGAAGTCATGAGACAAAAATGCAATAGTGAGCTTATGAATAACAACACTGGCAAAGCTATGTACCACTAAAAGCAGGAGTGAAGGAATCCATTGTAGACTAAGATAAGAATCAGAAGATCTGAATTAATAATAGAATCAATTAATTAGTTCCACACAAGGAGTTCAGAGTACAATCAATCAAACTAAACTAAAGTCAGCAAGTAAATAATGGTTCACACTTTGCACAGCTGCACAATGGAAAGATTGATAAACATGGAGCTTTCCGGTTGTCACGGAGAATTGACTTGGTTCCTCAACCTGCTTGAACGCCTAACCGGAGTAACCACCTCATCATCAAATCCCTGCAGAATCAAAAAAAAAAACAATGAAAACTATTAAAATGATTATTGTTGAAATTGACGTACAGAGTTTATATGGCAGTTTAAGTACTTACATGCTTCTTGGGAATTTTCTCATACGTGGTGAAGCTACCATAGGAAGGCGAACCCATAGAGAAATCCGATGAGGCAAGGGACTCTCTCCTGTCACTCTTCCTAGTCTTCCTTTCTTGGCTCTGACCTTCACTTGACTCTTTGTGTCCTTTCTTGCTGTAAGATGAACTCTTGAAGCTGCTCATTTCTGATGGACATGATTCAACAACCATATCAACTTCTGTCTGCCAATCCTTAGAGGACAGCCTTTCTCTGAAAGTATGTTCAGAAGTAACTGAAATTGGACTGTAATCCAATTTCTTAGTCATTGCTGGTTGGTCCACAGGAGTAGCAGCATTTGGAGTTGAGGGTTTTCCTTTCTTTGCATACTTGAAGAAAGCTGTTGTTGCAAGTAGACTCAGAAGCACAAGCAAAAAAATGCCCAAGACATTTGTTGTGAGAAATTCAACTTCTGACCCATTCACTGTAGTGATATCTTCTGTGGCTGAAATCTGTGGATGATCATGACCCATTGCAGCATCCAATTCAGAGCTCTGATGAATGTTTTCAGCTCTAGTAGACACAAGCTCAGCATATAAATTCTTATCACTTTCTACTTGAGATTCATTGGCTTCAGCTCTGGTTGACTCAGTTTCAGCATAAAATTCATATTCTTTCTACTTGAGGTTCCCTGGCTTCAGATTCAGGTTGAACATTAGCTTCTAAGATCACCTCAGGCTGAGTGTTTGTGGCTTGATATCATTGTGATCATCCGAGAGGCTGATGTGTTTGCTTCTGAAGGTTCAACCTCTCGCCGGTAGAGTTAAGCATGCCTCTTCGGTTCTGAGTCAGTGTGATCTCTGAAGTCCAACTCTCTTGGTGCACTTGTTCTTCAAATCTTGGCTATTATCAACTTTCTGATGTGTTTGTGGCTTAATTCATTGTGATCATCCGAAGAGGCTAGTGTTTGCTTCTGAAGGTTCACCCTCTTCAGCCAGTAGAGTTAAGCATGCCTCTTCAGGTTCTGAGTCAGCGTGATCTTCTGAAATGTCTCAATCTCTTGGTGCACTGGTTCTTCAAATCTTGGGCTATTATCAACATTCCATAAGAATTCATATTGCTTTCTACTTAGGTTCCCTGGCTTCAGATTCAGGTTGAACAGTAGCTTCTAAGATCACCTCAGGCTGATGTGTTTTGGTGGTGATATCATTGTGATCACCAAGAGGCTGATGTGTTTGCTTCTGAAGGTTCAACCTCTTCAGCCGTAGAGTTAAGCATGCCTCTTCAGGTTCTGGTCAGTGTCATCTTCTGAAATGTCATCAATCTCTTGGGGCACTTGTTCTTCAAATCTTGGGCGATATCAACATCTCATCGGTTCTCTCTCGGAATCACCCTCTTCGGATGGTTTGGTTCCCACATCTCTCTCCCTATTGGTGTCAAGAAATTCTGTTCACTTAATTCCACATCAGCCTCCCTGTGATACTCTTCAAACAAATCAGTCAGATTGCTATATTGCGAAGGACCCGTTTTGGCACTTCCCTTAAATCGGATATCAGCTTGCAAAGGTAGGAAGAGTTAGCTGCCCACACTGAGATCTTTGAGCCGCCTCTCAAAGCTCACTTTTGCAAATTCAGTGATTTCAGTGAGACATAGAGGTTGAGAAGTCTAAATCAGTAACTGGAACTTAATGACTGAATTGACAAACCAGCAACGACCATACCACAAGGAAAGCAGAACTTTGATCTTGTAAAGAATTTGACTTACACACCCTTTTAGCTTGACACCTCTCCTCAAACTTGTCGATACTAAAGGGGTTTGGCTCAGATACACTGAACTCTGTCTCTTCCTCTTCTATTGCTGCTTCAGCTTCTTCTTTCCTGTTTCATCCGAAGAAACATCCCGACTCTTTCTGGGAATCATCGGACAGAATTCCACTAACTTCACCATCAGATTCTGATAAAAAACTCCTTCGAGACGCTTACCATCTCTTTTCTTATACGATAGCTCGATTACGGATTTGGCTGGTAATGAAGAAACTGAGGCCTTGGTGACAGATATTTTGTTTTAGGATCATAGGTGGCATGGAAGGATCTGCATCAAGTGGTGCCAACATAGGCTTTGAAATTGAACAAGAGGTTCTAGGACTAATCTTGAAAGTTGATCAGATTACACTATCATCCACCTGGTTAAGATTCTCTGCTAATGAGGTTACATCGTTCTTCTCCCATCTAAAGTTACGTCAGCGAGGTCATTGATTGTTGAATCAAGATTAACACATCATCCACCTGGTTAACATTCTCTGCTAATGAGGTTAAATCGTTCTTCTCCCATTCTAAAGTTCGTCAGCGAGGTCAGTGATGTTTGAATCATGTGAACCTCAATCTTGTTTTGATTCAAGCCCATCTCTGGTTTCAAAAATCATCATCTTCCATAATCAGGCTTTTGACATCAAAATGAAACAGTCTTCTTCTTACTCGAACTTTTCTCTGGCTTCGGCTCATTGTCTTCCATCACTTGGCTTCTTGCATCGAGAATGAAGCTGAAGATCGAACTGGCTCATTTCTCTCAGCCAATATTTTCTTTCTTGGTGATGCAGAGAACTTTGAAGGGCAGAGATGGTTGGCGACATGAAATTCTTTGTACCCTTTGAGACAGAGCCGGAGATCGGACTTTTGCTGTGTTTAAATTTCATCTTTGCCGTTTTCTTTGTCAGTGAAATCGCTCAAGAACTTACACTTTCTCTGCCAATGGAGCTTCTTCTAAGAATCTGCAGCTCAACAAACACAAGAAAGAGTACAATGAGACACTAAACCAATTGTCCATAGGTCCCAATAATGCTTAGGGAAAACTTAATTTGAAGAAACTGCATGAAAGATATAGAATTTGTGATATTTGATTTATAAAAGGCCTGTTTGTTTCAACGGAAATATTTCCAGGAAAATTTGAGTTACCACACAAGAATTTCAGTGCAAGAGAATTAAGAAATATATTGTTTCTTCAATCTCAGCCCTCATTAGAGATGAATGCACATTCCCACCACTTCTCAATTAAGTATATATCATCATAATATTTTCCTAGAAAAACTCCAATAAACCATTTTCTATCTAAACAAACAGAACCCACCGCAAAAAATTCAACTTAAAGAAAAACAGGTTTAATCATTTAAGTTAATTTCCGTAGTACCCAGAAACAAAAAAACATTCATTTACATTTCTTTTCATTTCATTTTCTTGGCATCCAAACATATGATTATCACAAAAACAAAGAATTTCAAGAGTGTAAGATAATTAAAGAAAAATATTGTTTTCCTAGAAAATTCCCAGTAAACCATTTTCCATCAAAAATTCAACTTAAAAAGAAAACAGTTTTTAATCATGTGTTAATTCCTGAAGTACCCAGAACAAAACATTCATTTCATTTCTTTTCATTTCATTTCATTTTCTTGCATCCAAACATATGATTATCACATAAACAAACAAGAAAGAATCACAAAGAAAACGGGAAATTAAAGTAAAACTGACCTGAAGGACGTTGGCAGGAGTGTTGGTTTAAGCCACCTCTAGAATTGGCACAATTGAGGAGGGTTTGTTAAACGGATACCAGTGAAACTCCTTCTCATGGGATCTTTAGTTTCAGAGTTTCTTGCACTAGGGTTTGGTCTAGTTGACGGTAGTGGTGAAGAAGAAGAGGGCTTGTTTGTAATTGTAGCCATTGTTAAAATTGAATCGATTTGTCAGATTGTGGAATTGGGATGGCGGTGTTTCTGAAATATGGAAGAAAATGAAAGCTTTTGGCATAATGGTTCGGCTTTGATGTGAAGGATCTTGAAAGATTTGGCGAGAAGAAAGAAGTGGTGTAGTAACGGCTAGTTTTTGAAATGGGAGATATAAATGGTGGAAAATTTTGACCGTTGATAAAATAATTGAATGTCAAAAAGTTTGGAGCCGTGTATTATGTACTCGTTGGAAGGTGGGGATTGAATTTGCAAAACCTAGCCGTTGAGGATCTTTTACTTGATTCTGGGGTTTAATTATATTATCCCTAGGTTGACAGAATAACAAGAATTCCCTGAGGTATAATATAATAACACAATTCCCCATTTAGGTTGTAATTGTTAAAATAAACAATAAGTGGGTAATTTGGTAATATTTATTAACTCATAATAAAATATTTTAACGGCTTACTAATAATTTATTAACTACAAGATGATTTATTATTTTATACACTTATAGATTTTTGTTATTATATCATGTTTTGAATTAATTAATTCATTAATTTTAAATTTTATAAGATGAAAAAGTAGAAAGAGGTTTTCCTTTAACGAACAAATCCAAATTTTTTAAGAAAACGTCAGCTGATATAGTCACTAGCCAGTACTTAATAACATATTTGATGAAGGTTGAACCATACTAATTAATGGAACCTTGATTATACTAAACTATATATTACTATTCCAATCATGATAATTGATTTTAATTGTAAATAAAATTAAACTACCAAACTTAGTTTATTTTTAAATTAAAATAAATTTGTTAGCTGTGGGTATAACAAATATTATGTGAATAAGACTTGTTTTCATTTGGATCATAAACTCAGAGAAAACCGGAGATCAGTTTGTTAATATTGTCATAGATAAGTTAGAGCTTTTGACGCAGAAGCTTGATAACTTAGACAAAAGAGTGATTATACGGTGTGTTATATTTACTCAGAATTGACTCAGATAGGAAAACAGATTGAAAAGGTCAATTCTGCACTTCAAAAGGTCAAGACACTGGAACACATTCTAACTATTTTACTAAGCCAGTAAAATAGAGATGTCCTTGGTTTTAAGTGACATTGAACAAGTGTGGGCCTATTGAAGGTATACGGAACAAGTATAAAACGGGTCGTGTTAGACCTCTATAACGGAAACCCAATATTCGAGAAAGTATCTGACTTGGCTAGGAGTAAAGTGACTTTTGGATGTTATCCAAAAGGCCTTTAGTCAAGGGTGCCAAAGATTATGCTTTATCGGCCGAATTTCACCATTGAATTGCCAAGTTGGAACTTCAGAATAAGTGGTTGAAAAGGCTGAGGCGGTAATTCCTTATTGGTACAACGAATCCCACCGGATCCATCCTGAACCATTAAAAGATCCGCTTTGCACTAGCTTAAGGATGGATTCAGATTGACCATGGGTGGTCAAGACATTTGGTCAGTTTACGGCAATTCTACAGGAAAATATCTTGGATTACCTCTAGGTATTGCATAGTTCGTGGCCAAAGAAACCCAAGGTGATTGGGAAAAGGCAAACAAGCTCTTTACGAAATGAGTAAAGGAAGAAGACTTTGTTTCTAAAACGGATGGCAACAAAGGTTGATATTCCAGAAATTTCTACCTCTAATGCTGAAAGAATTAGCAGGTATTATGAGGAAGAAATGAAGAAACAAAGAAGGGAAGAAACTAGAGGTTTGAAAATTACTCCAGGACCTAAAAAGGCGGAGCTCGATGAGCTAATTTCTAGACTCAGGAATCTGAGTTTAAATATGACCCGCTGAAGGAATTCGTAACCCTTTAAATTCTTTTGAAGGATTTAAGGAAATCTCCAAACCCGAATATAAACAAACTTATCCCACAGAGATAAGGTTGGAGTTTATACCTAGGGGAATATCTAGAATGGTGGAGATACGTCTAGTGGTAGTTTCTTGAACATCGATTGCGTCACAAATGTTACTGATGCAATTGAAGCATGGGAAACTGTTAATTGGGTTCATGTGCAAAATAAGGCTTTTGGACTTAGTGATACTTTATATTTCTAAGATCCACTCTATAGGACTGTAGGAAGCTTCTAGAGAAGTTTAGAAGTGGTACGGGTCTGTTAGATACTGTAAGGGACTTGAAGAATGTAGAGGCTATTTTTGCACTCTTCAAGGATATGCTCTTCGAGAATTTACTAGGATAACCATAACTAGTAGGAATCTCACAGAGGTAGTTTCATAGAAGCTTTGACAGAGCTATGCTTTGTGACATGTGCTGTTTGAAAATTTTGTCTACGAATATAGACGATTTCTATCAGTTGCCTGGTGGCACACAGAAGTCATGAAGGATAAGGCAGCAAATGAGGCGTTTAAGCTTCTATTCGAAAAAGAATTAGGTGTTGATTCTTTGGAGGAAGAATAAGCTGTTTGACAACTCGTGAGAACAAGATGT